CTTTAAGTATAGGATTGTGACTACTATGCCTAACTATAAAGACCTTCTGAAATTACAATGGCAATGTTCTTCAAAGTTTTCCATTCTCTAGCTGCCTTTAATAAGGATCTTCTCATACTTCTTCTCTCACCCTTGGAGTATTCTATTCCTTTGTTTTTTTAAACTGTACATGCAATAGACTGCAAAAGCTTTAAGAAGAAAATTAATTTAACTTTCTTGAAAAAGTGTCTATTGCTTACTTCTTACAAGGTCGTGCTGATTACTTTTATGCTAAAAAAAATATAAACTACACCTACTATGTTTCCACAGCATTAATAGCACAACTAACCGCATTTTCTAGAAACTGGGAAAACAATGTTTCCCTGTATCATCCAGTTTAAGACTTTTCTTTACTATTACTCACTACCAGAATTTAAAGGCTTGGCAGGACCACCATTTCACAGAAAGAAAGATAATGAAACATGACATTTTGTTTAAGGTACAACTCTTAACAACATGGAAGACTGAAGTCTAAAGCTGCAGCATTCACATTTAACTATTTATACTCAACAGAAGGCTTACCAACCAGTATTGCAGTAACCCTAAAGGAAACACATATATAGACCCAGACAGGTGTTCTCCAAAACATATTTTTAATGTGATCTGCATTTGGAGCCTAAAGAGAGTAAGAGCAGAGAAATATGCTTGTTATTCCTTTTTTACATTACTGTTAAAGCTAAATTACTTCACGTAAAAAAGAAACTGCAGTATTTCCATACATGGAGCTAGCCCTGCATAGGAAGTCTTTGTGATAGAATGGAACACAAATACAACATTAGTTAAAACCAAACCAACAGCTTTTCATTCTGCCCTCACTGAGGGATCAACAGTCACTTTCACACTCAAAGTCAAGAGATACGAGCAGTCTAGCATGTCCCCCATCAACTTCCCCAAAATTACTTTGAAGCATTAAATACCAGTTGACTTCACTGTAGTCACAGAAGACAGAAATTAGTGTTTTAGAGTACATACTGGCATTTGTCAACATCTTAGAGTACAACAGGCTTTCCACTCTATATTTCAAAGCATGAGGAAGCTATTTCAAGAGCAGTCATAGCCTGCCACTATCACCTTGCAGTTGACATAAAACTGAGAGACACATGTTCTCCTCAGAAGGTTCTTAGCTTTTATAAATCCTCCTGTAAGGATTTTGCTATAGTACTGTATTCTTTTTGTAAAGTAGTGTTTTGTAAGAATGGAAAGAAGTAAATTTTAACCAGTTGCAAAACAGTTGTTAAAAGAGAGCTCTTCGGGGACTTAGGAAATACACAAAATTACTTCCTATTTAGGGACTGTTGTAAAGTATATATAGAAAACTAACCACACTGTTGCCTTGCATTTCAGAAAGTGTCTTTATACTGCACTTAACAAACAGAACAGAGACACCACAGACAGCTGGAATCCTGTCACCAGCATCAGTGATACAAAAATAGGAATACAATTTGAGAATTTGGTAAGAAAAGCTTTTTTTTTTTTTTTAATGAGAACACTTTTCATCTTCCTGGTTGAAGTATTTCAGGTGAAACCCAAGACAATTAGAAGAAAGACTGCTTTGAGCATTTATCCCCTACCCCAAAAAATACAAGTTCAGAGGTCTCAACAAGCAAGGAGTTATCACTGTCTCTCAGGAGCCATACCTGTAAATAGTTTAATCCATTTTAAAGCCTGTTTTACCCCTGCAGGGCATACAATTTTTTCCCCCGCAGTGTTATCAACATTTTTCTGCGTTGGTAGCTCAGAAGCAACACATTTCACCAGAAAAAAAGCCCAAGTAGGAAGAAAAGTGAACAAGGAAAGAATGAGTTAAAAATATGACAAAAATAAAACAATTCTTTGTGTCTTGAATGGTCTTTAGTGCCTTGTCCTTACCACAGTTTGAGTCCAGCTAGCAACACTACTGCATCAACATGTTTCACTAAAATAAACTATTTCGACCTCTGAATGAGTAACAAGATTAAGAATAATTCTGGTCCAGAAAGTTGGTATCTATACAGAAGTGGAGACAAAACTGCTTTCAATCAGGGACTGAAGGGGCAAAACTGCTACTACCCATCAGCACTGGCCCTAGTGGTACATGCATCTCAGACAGGGCCTGCTGTCCCAATCCTCCCCCTCCTTGCCCCCCCCAATTAGCAAATCCTGAACTAATCCCTAACACATTAACCAGCACAGGCTGTGTACCAATTTATTTTAAAATTAACAATAATTAAACAGGATAATGTAAACATACAGGGCCAAATGGAACGTGGTACTGAATGCATGAACTCATCCGCCTGGACACCTAAGTCAATACCTGGCAAGGTAAGAATTCAGCAGATAGCCTCATCACCATGAAAAATTAAATTCTGCACAGAGGTGATAGTTTTTAGGACTGATGCACATTGGTAAATACTTAGACAGAACTACATACAACAAATCAGTACATCATATTAAACTGGCTTGCTTTCAAAGACCAGCTAGCAGAATAAGCCTTCCTTGTAGCAATTTCACTAGAATTACATATATTTAATAGTGATATGCTTTACCTTTTGGGAATGTTTTCCACTCAAAAATCTGCTAACAATTTAGCAATTTTTAGATTGTATTTCTGGACTAATAATGTCCAACTCATTTTAAATAGGGTATTTCTATATGAGGATATTTATATAAACAGGACAGTTACAAAGACAGAAATTTAAACTAAATACACCAAAGAGCAGTACAGATTCCAGAGTATAAAACTCTCAAAATCCAAAAATCCCCTTCTCTGTGACCTATAGAAAAAGAATTATTTTTATGACTTGAAGTATAAGGCAGATCATTTCTAGAATGGTGTGGTTTGTTGATTATTCCTACTTACAGAGTAGTAGAAAAGCACAAAAGTAATTAAAAAAAAAATCAAAAATCAAACTACATGTTCTCACAAATGACAGCTTGCGTGGCATGTGCTTTAATCATTAAAAATCAGAAAATTTTAGCCAATTGAATAGGAATTTACTCCTCTGTGTTTGCAAGAGAAAGTAACAGGTTTCCTCATTCTCGTAATTTCATACAGTGTAGATGTGGCATGGGACTAACAGGTGAAAGCTGCTTGAAAACACAGAATCTGAAAGTGGCAAAGCACAAACAGCATTGCTTTCAACATCCCTTTGCTTAAAAACATCCCTGTATTTCTCCCAAGAATGGCTAAGCTAGTAGGCAGTATGCTGTATGCTAACAGGAACCCTGAAACAGCACAAAAGCAAGGAAGAACTATTCTTATATGCTCCCAAGACACATTCTTCCTCAACTTAATTCACAAATGACAAAAATGTTATGACATCAACTTCAAAAATAAAGTATTAAGAGAGACGCTCCTAAAACAACTTAGCCTTTATCTAATTAATTTGGCTTCTAAATATCTCTATCACTGACAAAGGCCTAAATCAACTTTTTGATTTTCTGGAGCAAGAACCCCACAGGTACACTTACTGCCCACCACTGAAATGAAACATCAAGTCAAAAATATCCGATATGCTAGACCACTGAACTTGCAAGTAAACAGTATTCTACCCAACAGAAATTAATTTCACTTTAAGATATCTGCAGGGCTAATGTGCCATAATAAATTCTACTATTAATCAACAATAAAGTGCTGAATTATATTAATTACCTGAATCGCACTCACATTTATGGTTTTCATTTATAGATTTCTTATCAAGTCAAAAGAGCCCTTTCTGTTGTAAAAGCTAAGCTGTTGTGCAAATATTATAAAAATAGGAACTTTAATTAGGAGCTATATATATACACAACAGAACTTCCGCTTTTTGTTAAGTACAGCTGACATAGCAGAGATGAAAGATCCATGCAACTATTTATAAAGATACTCAACATGAAGAAAAAAGGACACTGTTATAGAACTTCCAATACCCTGGCAAACAGCCACTTATTATGTTATATTAGGTGATGTCTAGATCCGGACTGATAAGCATCATGCCACCAACATGCTTTAGTTTCTTTTGTAGCTAAAGTTGATTTGTAAATTTTAAACTACGGCATACATTTGATCTATTTCTCGTTAAAGTGTACCATTATGTCTGAGGTTAAACTTTGAGCAAACTTCACATCTAGTCACATAACCAGCACAAGCAAGACATTAGTGCAAAGAGGAAGGTGTCAGTTGTACATAATAAGCATTCTTCCCCCAACTGCACGATGCAATAGAATGATTTAAAGTTCAAGTGGACTATGATGAGAAAAAGTGGTATTTTCTTCTCCCAAATTTAGGACAAATTTCCAGAGGATCAAAAAGAACACAACCTCAGTTACACGAGTCAAAAAAGTCAAACCCAAGTTTGGAGAGCTGATAAATAACTCCAAAATTCATCATGCTATGAAGACAGCATTCTCAAAAGAGCTCCAAACAAACTGCAAAACAAAATTGGCATTCGAGTTGAAATTGGCCAAGTGCTGCATAGAAATATGCTCACACACAACAGTCATGTTTAAGCCAGTGCATAGAGAAGATAAAAGCACTTATGGTAGTTGCAAATGTTAACAAGTCCATACAACTAGTACAGTTTAGCAATGAGTCCATAGAAAAAGAACAGAGTAGAAATGCTCAAGCAAAACCAAGAAAAGATGACCTTCCAACTGTATAAAATCCACGTAACAGTTATAGTAAAAAGGTACCAGTGGAAAACACTCAACTTAGAACCAAACACCCAACAGGCAAATAAAACCAGAATTGACAAGCCTTTGGCAGACAATTTGAAGAGTCTAAATATGGCATTACATTTCTAAGTAATTCACAAAATATATTATATGGCATATTCATATTAAATACTGGGTAACCAACTCTGCAGATCTGATGCTAACAATGCTTTAGCCAATGACAGCAAGATAGAGCAAGCTAAGGGAACGCTGGTGTATCACAACAGTGCTCAAGGAAAATATCGTCACCAAGTCGTGCTTCAAAAACAGTACTCTGGGATTCCACACTATCATCTATGGAGCAAAACAAAATTCTCTAGTTTTTCAGGGATGTGCCCTGCGTAGTATATGTTATGATTCACTATTACACGAGCAGCAAGACACTGCAATGTAGTATGATTTATGGGCTGGATTAAATTTTTTGCTATTTCCTTCTCATCCAGCAGATCACTAGCAGTTTGTTTATGCAAGTTTGTGGCATCAAAGTGTGAACCTGACTTGATAAGAAGATTCATGATGTCCGGATGGTTGTTCAGTGCAGCAATGTGTAATGGACTGTTGTTATCAGAGTCTCTGACATTTACATCAGCACCACATTCCACCAAGATAGCAGTAACTTGCAGAGATGGGAATTTACAAACTGGGTAGCGACCTACACATGTAGTATTATTGTCAACAGCAAGATGAAGTGGACTGAAGTTATTCTTCCCTCTAGGCTGAAGTTTAATAAACCTGTAAATAGTCTGTTTCTTAAAATGCTCCTGTTCTGAGCTGCAAGGTACTTTCTCCAACAAGCAAATTAAATGCAAAATGATGGAAAGGGCTTTGTTCAGTTGTATTGGATCAGGAGGACTCTGGGTTTGTTTCATGGCCCGTTCTATTTCAAGAACGCTTTTGCACAGTATACCCATGAGATCATCAAATGTGACGGTAGTGCCTAGCAGGCCTTTTGCTCTATCCTGCAGCATGAAGGAGAAGAGTTCAGCAAATGATAGTAAACTGCTGGCTGTCATAGGACTCAGTGGATCAAGATTGGTCTGTTGCATGTCCAAAGCATATTTCCATAAGTTGATGCAACGCTTGAAGTTTCCAGAGTCTGCGTAGACAGCACCTCTGTATCTAATATAGTAGGATGTATCTGGGTGAGAAGGGCCAAGAATACGTTCTCTAATTAATAGTGCTTGCATTCTCATTTCATCAGGGTCTGCAATAAGATTTTCTAGCTCTTCTGAGGTGTTTACCTCTTTAGCATAATCATACGCCATAATTAGTGTTTGTGGCACAGGTTTGCTCAGGATATTAGTCCTATCACTGTATCTCATGAAGGAGAAGAGTTCAGCAAATGATAGTAAACTGCTGGCTGTCATAGGACTCAGTGGATCAAGATTGGTCTGTTGCATGTCCAAAGCATATTTCCATAAGTTGATGCAACGCTTGAAGTTTCCAGAGTCTGCGTAGACAGCACCGCTGTATCTAATATAGTAGGATGTATCTGGGTGAGAAGGGCCAAGAATACGTTCTCTAATTAATAGTGCTTGCATTCTCATTTCATCAGGGTCTGCAATAAGATTTTCTAGCTCTTCTGAGGTGTTTACCTCTTTAGCATAATCATACGCCATAATTAGTGTTTGTGGCACAGGTTTGCTCAGGATATTAGTCCTATCACTGTATCTCATTTCCATAGCTCGCTTCCAGTATTTCAAAGCACCAAGCAGATCTCTCTTTTTGTCCACAAATGTTGCTCCTAGAAGTTCCAGAGCATTAATGCGCTCAGCCTTACTGGTCTGTACATGCTGGGTCAGAAAGTCCACGATATTTGTGTGGCCTGTCACGCTAGCCGACAAAAGGGGAGTCATTCCATAACCATCCTTTTCCATTTTAGCACAATACTTAAGAAGCATCTTCATGATCTCCAAACTTCCAGATTCCGCACAGTCATGTAACGCAGTGTTTCCTGCAAGACAAGAAACACAATTACACAAACTGTAACCAAATTATAGTCCAAACCCCACCACACTAATAGTTAAAAAAATTAGTTAAAAAATAGTTTAAAAACCGCAAACATTAACAGTTAAAAAAAATAGCCGTTTTGACATTTGTGGACTATGGAAGGTTGAGATGACAATTCAAAATATTCAAGACTGGATAAAATATCAAAGCTGCCAGGCAGTTACACTAATCAAAATGCTTGCTATTATTGCCTGAAAGAATTAAACAGGTTTTAAGGATATTTTTGTCTCATTATTTAAAAAAACAGAATTAAAACAGAGTTCTCCACTATGTAAAAGCACAGGAACAGGCAATTCCTTTGTCTCAAAAGTCAAGCAAGCAGTGCACAAGACCAGCTTGACTAAACAGGGAACTCCTGGAGCTCAAGAGAAAAAAGAAATTGTACGCTCTCTGGAAGCAAGGTCAGGCTTTGCAGGAAGACTACAGAACTGTGATTCATATATGCAGGGAGAAGATACGAAAGGCCAAAGCTCAGTTAGAGTTGAAACTGGCCAGTGCTGTGTCAAACAACAAGCAGGGCTTTTTTAAGTATGTTAATAGCAAGAGGAAAACTAAAGAAAACATTGGAATGACAATTGTTGAAGATGGCCCACTGACTAATAGGGATGAAGGAAAAAGCAGAGGCATTCAATGATTTTTTTGCCTCGGTCTTTAATACTACTAATTGACCTTGGGCTGCCCAGTCCTCTGAGTGAGAGGACCCTGAGTGTGGGAACAGTGACTTTCCACTCGTAGACACTGAAATTCCAAGGCATCAGCTGTATCAGATGAAGGTTCACAAGTCCACAGGGCCTTATGGGATTCATCCCAAGGTACAGAAGGAGATGGTGGATGGCACAGCAGGACCCCTCTCAGTCATCTACCAAAGGTCTTAGGAGTCTGAGGAGGTCCTTGCTGACTGGAAGCTAGCCAGTGCTATTCCAGTTTACCAGAAGGGCAAGAGGGAAGACCCAGGGAACTACAGACCTGTTAGTCTAACCTTGGTTACTGGAAAAATTACGGAAAAAGTTACACTGGGTACTACTGAAAGGCATTTACAATAAAGTCATGAGGCACAGTCAACATACCCTTCTATGATAAGGTCACCTGCCTAGTGGATGAAGGGCAGGTGGTACATGTAGTTTTTCTGGATTTTAGTGAGGCTTTTGATACCGTCCCTCACAGCATCCTTCTGGACAAGTTGTCCAACTGGGATTAGCAGGTACTCAGTACACTGGGTGAAGAACTGGCTGAAGGGCAGGTCTCAACAGGTTGTAGTGAACGGGGCTACAACTGGCTGGCAACTGGTCACCAGCAGTGTTCCTCAGGGCTCAGCTCTAGGGCCAGTTCTGTTCAATATATTTATCAATGATCTACATGCAGAAGTTGAACGCACCATTAGCAAGTTTGCTGACGATATCAAACTGGGAGATGCTATTGACCCTCTCATGGGGCAAGAGGCCTCCAGAGGGATCTAGACAGATTGGAACATTGGGCAATCATCAATAATATGAAATTCAACAAGAACAAATGCCAGATTGTGCACCTGGGATGGAGTAACACCAGGCACAAGTATAAATTGGGAGAGGAGTGGCTGGAGAGCAGCCCTGCAGAAAGGGATGTGCGGTGCTGGTTGACAGCAGGCTCAGCAGGAGTCAGTTGTGTGCCTTGGCAGCCAAGAGGGCAACCCGCATCCTGGGGTGCATCAAACACAATATGACCAGCCAGTCAAAAGAGGTGATTGTCCTGCTGTATTCAGCATTGGTGCAGCCTCAGCTTCAATACTGTGTGCACTTCTGGACCGCACAATTTAAGAAGGATGTGAAGATCCTTGAATGCTTCCAGAGAAAGGCAACAAAGATGGTGGAAGGGCTAGAAGGCATGTCCTGTGAGGAGTGTCTGAGGACTCTGGGTTTGTCTAGATCAGAGCAAAGGAGGCTGAGGGGCGACCTCATTGCTTTCTACAGATTCCTGAGGAGGTGTACTAGAGAGGGAGGAGCTGAGCTCTTCTCCCTGGGATCCAGTGACAGAACATGTAGGAATGGCTCGAAACTGCTCCAGGGGAGGTTCAAACTCGACACTAGGAAGCATTTCTTTATCGAGAGTGCAGTCAAACACTGGAGCAGGCTTCCTAGAGAGGTAGTTGATCACACAGAATCACAGAATCATTAAGGTTGGAAAAGACCTTTAAGGTCAAGTCCAACCATCAAAGGTATCATTACTTAATAGGCTGTAATTAAGTTCTGATCCAAAATTGTATTTTAAAAACCTGTCAGTGTTTAAGAGGCATTTGGACAATGCCCTTAATAATTCGATTTAACTTTTGGCTTGCCCTCAAATGGTCAGGCAGTTGGGCTGAATGATCACTGTAGGTCCCTTTCAACTGAACTGTTCTATTCTAGAAGGGATTTGTATCTGCTTTCAAGTATGAAACAGAAACTTAAGCTTGCTGTGTCCATGTTGTTACACTTTTCTTCCCTTGTCAAATTTCCCTTCCTCCCTATCTCCAGCAATGATTAAAAAAATAATGAGAGCTGTATGAAAATTAAAGCTGGGCTAACTCAACATTGGCTTTGTTTGCCTCTACACTACACCTCTTCCTCCGTCTGTCTGCCAACCCTTTTGATTTACATGTTTTGAGGTAATAATTGTATGCAACGTAAAATACAATCCATCACAACAGGCTGGCCCTTCACCTCAGCTGGGGCCTTTAAGACTCCCCATATGTTCTTAGGGAGCTGGATATTTTTGTCAAGCACACGTATATACCCAGACAAACTATTCTTAATGCTTTCTTAGGTCTTTATCCTGAAGTCCCACATTAATCCCTCTGCTCCTCTGGTTCCTCTGGTTAGGATTCCCAAAACTGAGAAGAAAAAAATGCCTTCAACACACTGCCATCTATAACTATCTTATAATTTACATGCAGATTATTTCTCATTAGCATGACATTGCACAGTCTTTTACTTAAAGGCACTCCAGTTCTAACACAATGTGTGGAAATTTCTAGTAAGCACTTGTGGCACCTGTTTGAAAACGCTATTCACAGAAAATTGGAAAGCAAGCATTGGACACCTCAGTTTAAATATTTAACTATTAGATGAAAATTTGGCTTAACTTCAAATATAAGCACTTCACTAGAGGATAAGGAAAAAGATGGAGACAAACTCTCCTGGTCCCCTTCCAACACAACAAAGTCTTTTATGTGGTTGACTGCTTTTAAATTTACACAATTTAAATTTACCTTGCTCTTTATAATATATTATACATACTACAGGATGCATAGTAACTTTTCAGTCTCCCACTAAAATTAATATGTAATTTATTAACAGAAAGCATTAGCCCTGCAAATTCCAGCTAACTGCCCATCAGATCATCCGCTTCTGTTACCCTATTGGCAAGTTTCCACAGTCACAAGTAAGACCTTTTTTAAGGGTTCTCTTCCCATTCATAGTCTTAAAATTTGGCTTTTAAAAGTTAAGAGAGAGAAGTTTCCTGAAACTTCCTTATTTGCATTTTTTGGTAGGCTTTTTTTTTTTAATGCCAACAAGAGCTATTTACAATGCGCTTTGCTGTTGTATTTCTAGTCTGTAACAGAACTATGGTGGGTTAGTAAACCAGGCAGTAGTCTTGAAATCTTCAGCTCGTGTTTGGGGTAACTGTGTACTTTTAGTTATATAGTCTACTGATCTAAAAAGCTTCTATTTATCTTCATACACTTTAAATTTTTTCCCACAGTCTGATCTCTAGAATGTGCAGTTCACTCTATACTAGAGTATTTAGCTAATGAAACTCAAATCAAAAGCATGCCTGACACCTGTTTTCAATGCTGAACACTGTATAAATTAAAACTAAAATGGAGGTAAAGTCTTTCCACTAATACCTTCTTTCTGACAAGAACATATTGTTTACACTGTCTTAAAAATAACAAATTCAAAAGCAAAACATTTGAAGTTAGTATATGTATATAAGGAAAAAAGGTTCATACTTATTAAATACACTTCAGAAATAGAAAATTTGTTCCATTTTCATATCAATAAGAACATAATGTAGGTCTATGCAAATAATTTTGACACCTACTTTTTACATATGAGACTTCATAGCACACATCTTTCTAAGAACACATAGTAAGAGGATACAAAGTTGAAGAAAAACCAAAAGCAAAATTCAGAAATATCTGTTCAAATAATGACTGTTCTCTAAATTCAATACCCACTTGTTGGCAGCAGAATCAGACACCTTAGATCCACAATGTAGACCTCTATTCTGTGTTTTGAATTAGCAGATCATCATGTAATAACTTGCTTTTATCTTCTGTTGACAGACCACTGGGACAAGAAATTGTTCATGCAATGCTTTTCCAAGTTTCAGTACACAGAAGTATGTAGAGACTCAAGGCCTGTTTAGAGGAAAATTTTCTAATGGGCACTGCACATTTTGCCTTGGCTTCCCCACTAGTATCCCAATCATCCCCTCCTCACTCTTTCTCTTCTAACCTTTCACTTCTCAAAACTTTACATGTAAATTGGTCTGCTGCTTCTTCCTCAAACTTGTTTATGGACCATCTGAAAAACAACTGACAGCACATTCCAAGGCTTCCTTCTTGCTCTGAATTCCAGCAATTAGAACAGTTGTAAGGAAGAACAGCAGTTATTCAGGACAAACTCAATTTCAATCCAGTCTCAGCAGATACCAAAATTTAGCTGACACACTAATCAGAAAGATGTGTAAAAAGTTATTTTCAAAGCTTATGACTCAAGTTTAACAGATTTCTGCAGTTATAGCAGAGCTATGCATATATTTTGTAACCCCAGCCAGTATTTTAAGTGCAAATTCCAAACATTTTAAAAAAATAAACCACAGGAAATATCAGATTGTTTCATTAGCAGACAGTTAACTTAACTTGCAAAGTGTTCCTTTCCCAAAACATTTCTGAGTAGTGGCCAGTGATTTTACTATCATTTACCAACAACTAAACTGAGGAAGACATCCTTGACACAAAGTGGCACACACACAGAATCGCACAGAATCACTAAGGTTGGAAAGGACCTT